TCTTATGAGACAATATTCATTGAAATCTGTGTCCAAAACCTGTTCACAATAAAAACATAGCCATCACATGCTATGTCACTGTCTCTGTGTTTGTACTTCTTATGGCAATCAACTAATGGATACAAACCTCGAAGACATGTGTCTGCCATTGGATACAATGTTTGGTTTGTTTGATGATCTCATTGAACACCACATCAAACGGCAACACATTATCATTGCTTTCAATGCAAACGCAATACTTTTCGCTTTCACTCAAAAATACATTTTGAAATTTAAATGACGAGTACACAAAACGTAAATCATTAAGTGAATTAATATTGTTTAATTAATTGTTAAGTTTACGTGTTTGTTTAGTTTACAGTTTATAAAAATATGTTATGGCATGATAAGGCATACAAATTGTACACTTAGTTATTAATACTGTATTAGTAATGACATATGAATTAGGGTATGTCTACAAACTCTGACAGTGTTTTAGACTATTTTAATAGTTGGGAAACTTTTTCCTACACTACAGTCAAAAATCATTCAAAAATTCATTAAACTTTTAAAACTGAATATAAATTGATATAAAAATGCAATCATTTTGTGCGTGAATTCAGGTGAAGGACGCGCCGCGACTGATGCGCGAAGAGACCCGACTGCCGGACGGGACGGTCACCGGGAGGTACGGCTACACCGTAGGCAAGCCACACAAAGCACAGCACTTTATACAAAGGCCTTTATTGCCTATAATGCGCTGCCTCCTCTAGCCTCTTGTCCAGTGGAGTAGCTGCGGGGTCATGAAGTTCCGATGGCGGGGAGTCCACGTCGAGGAGGTCAGCGAACAGCCCGAGAGCTACGTCCAGGACTTTGTCACCAAATTCAATCCACCCCTCTATCACCCGGAGGCGCATACAATGGACAATAACCGGCCCTCCACTGCGCCCACTGTCGAGGATAATGGACAGCAATATAACAGAAATCATGAGATCTTCAGTTTGAGTAATAGTGAAGACATTCTCGAGAAGAAGTACAGAGAACGCAAACAAACGGTTAGGAATTCACAGAATTCACAGAATTTACAGAATTCACAGAATTCACAGAATTCACAGAATCCAGAGAATCAGAATCGAGTGACAAATTCGCAAAAGCAGTCGATTGACAAACGTTTGGGCGAACTGTCGGCCACTCGGAGGCCAATCACCGACAGAAATCCGTTCGGTGTGTTTCGTGTCGTGAAATATGTTTCCGGAAATAACGGATATTACGCGACGGAGGAGATCGGAGAACAGGTCACCTCATCGACGCCCCAGTACTTCAAGGCTACCGCCCCTCAGGTGGTCGATGAAGTCAGCGAACAACCCGAGAGCTACGCCCAGGACTTTGTCACCAAATTCAATCCACCCCTCTATCACCCGGAGGCGCATACAATGGACAACAGCCGGCCCTCCACTGCGCCCACTGTCGAGGATAATGGACAGCAATATAATAGAAATCATGAGATCTTCAGTTTGAGTAATAGTGAAGACATTCTCGAGAAGAAGTACAGAGAACGCAAACAAACGGTTAGGAATTCACAGAATTCACAGAATTCACAGAATCCAGAGAATCAGAATCGAGTGACAAATTCGCAAAAGCAGTCGATTGACAAACGTTTGGGCGAACTGTCGGCCACTCGGAGGCCAATCACCGACAGACATATCATTAGATCCAATCTAGAAAAGGAGTTGAGACGAGTCAGCAGTACGTCTATTCATAATCAAAATCAGTCATCAGTTGTGGTCATTACGGATAATATCACTAAAAACCACAGCCTTTCGTATAATATAACTCATGATAATGACGATTTAAGACAAAACTTTAATAATTACGAAATTAATAGATCAGACAATAATAAATCAAATGATAGAAGTGAGAGATATAGAGAAACATATAATGAATTCCCTATAAATCGTGAGATAATACTCACAACAGAGACTCCAAACTCTGGAAGTACTGACCAAATACCTGATAGACAGAGACATCTGTATTACAACCCAACCCGAGCACCGGCCGTGAGTTATGTCACATCTGTGAGTCGGGAAATACATGAAGTGATTAATGAGACCGAAAACACCACTCCACCCACTGATGACATTCAGCCCAAGAGTGGCATATGGACCAGACTAAGGGAAAGGTTCTTATTTGGGAGTACAAGTCCTACAGAAACTGTACCACCAATTAGTACTGACAGTCCAACTAATGATACAAACAATGGATTCATTACAACAACAACTGATACCACTGTTGGTCGCGTTGAAAACCAAACTTTGGAGTTGAGTCCTATGTTTATGAGGGCCAGAGTCGAGGAGTTTAAGACAATATCAGAGGACATGATTGAAGAGGAAGAGCCTAAATATTTGGACAGAAATTATTTCTTTGATTTACCAAAAAACAGTTTAATACTTAAAGCGCCTATTATTTCAGACCCAATCCAAGTTCAACCGGAAACTAATCACTCGAATTGGTTTGAAGACATTCCCGATTATAATTCAAACATTCATAATAATACGGATAATATGAAAGCAAACCACGAAAACGAGTTGACAACTCATTTGATAAATACTGAGACCACGACTGAGACGAGTAGTGATGAGTCCACACAACTATTGTCGGCTGAAATGACAGCAAATTTTGATAGAAATAATGAAAGCCTATCGACAGATATCACCAAAAATGCATTTTATCAGAATTTCTGGTCTAATTTTAATAATAATAATGACAACAACAGTGCTGTAATTGATTGGAAAATAAACGGCGATATAATTAACTCGAGTTTTACAACTCCACCGCCAACTGAGAGTCCGACCACTTCTGGCAATAATTTTTACAATTCTTATATTTATGGAGAATATAGGGATGAGAGCAGCGAATCTGAAACTAATTCAAGTGATTCACACATTTTAAAAGATTATTTGCTAAACTTAAAAAGGGATTCAAATAATGATAAACAGAATGAAGAATCAATTACTTTGAGTCCAACCACAGAATCTCTGAATGAAACCTATAGTACAGAAGTTGACAGTAATTCGGATAATAATAATTCGTCAGAAAGTAGTGAAATGAATGCAAAACTTATAAATTCACAATTTTTACATGACTTTTGGCATAATTTAAATGAAAAATCAATTATGTTTTCCGAGGGACAGACAGTGCCTAATATAACGACTACCCCCTCACCTACCACTCCCACCACTCTTACTGGAGGTCCAGATATAAGTCCAGAAAATGTCAATAACTTGACTGAAACGACAACAGAAAAGACAACCACAAGTACCAGCGAATCCATGTCTTATGAATTTTTAAATAATTTTTGGCACAATTTTAACGATAATTCCGATGAATATTTAGTACCGGTTTTGCAAAACAAAACATTTAGCGAAACAGAAAACTCAACAAATGATAGATTATATGAGACGACAACCACATTAGAAAGCGCCACAACTGATGAGAAAATGTACGAAACATTAGACAAAAACTCGAGTCATTCACACAATTCTCTCGCAAGAAATGAAAGACAAGATTTGGATACTTTGGAAGACATTCATTATTCCGTCAAACTTAACGCAAACCTAAGCCAACCTGAGGTGCAGTTATCGCATAAGAGTCAATACATACCTCCACTTCAGGCACTCTTTGGATTCCCACAAGTGGTCAAACGGGTCCGAAAGGTACACAGACTTCGCTTAAGACAACACAATCACAATAATGACCGCTTAAACAGTACTGAACCCACAACTACTATCATCTCCACCTCCACTGCACCTAAAGTTATCTCTAGTGATGGCGATATCTTATCGACTGATTCATCGGAAACATTGTCAACGATTAGTAGTTCACAAATGACACCACAAGTTAAGAAAACTGATGGCGAATATTATATTCCTCCTTATCTTGCGTTAAGGCAACGCTTTGTTGAAACAAATGCTCAAAAATCAGTTCCAAATGTAGAATATTCTCAAGCATTTGATGATATGTCAGAAATTGTTACTACTATTCAATCCATGAGACCTTTTGATGGCGAAAGTAAAGAGTCTTTCAAAGACAGTGTAAACAACGACAGGACGAGTGATGTCTTCAGCAATACTGACAGCAATGTTGAGTCAAATCCTAATGAGGAAAGGGAGACAATCCCTGTCTCTGCATTTGTTGGTAACCCTAGACCTCAACCAAAATACTTGTTTCCATTAGAACCACAAACAAGGAGTTCATCAGAAATAGATTCACATGAATTCATACCATTTGATAGCCATGTCTACAGAGATGTTTATACTTTAGCCTAAAAATAATTAATTAAACTCTAAAACCGACACCAAATTTATATCATAATGTGGTTTAATATTAATTTGTTAATTATATCAAAGTAATAAATATTTTTAATAATAGCTTAATTTTGTTATCATAATAAAGTCTACTTGTTTTATACATTGAAAATAATATTGAATTTAATAACAGAGTAATTTATTTTAGGTCTTCATTATTCATATCTTTACTGCATTTCATTCATTCACAGAAATATTAAGTTTATGTTGACTTAAACCAAAAAACATTTAACCCTTTATAAAGTTTTATTATTGTAATAAAATTTATTGATATTTACAAAGAGTTATATTTTATTAAATAACAAATCATTTGCGGATATTGACTGCACTTTTAATGCGATTATTTTGACAAATATTATCACATCCGTTGACATCTTCCCACAAGTGATAATCAAATTCAGTAAAATCATTGCAAAGTACTTTTGGGTTTGTTTCAGACGACATAAACATTGGATTTGTTTGTATTGATTCAAAATCAGTGGTTTTGCACAATAGGTTTGCCAACGAAGACCTTTGTTTGATTTCATTTAACTGATCTATTCATTAATAATCATAAAATAAAATATATTTAGAGGACATCAGAAACAAGGAAACTTTGTTGTCTATTTAAATAAGGTTTTTAAAATACACAGTTTGACAGTTATATCATATCATACCTATACTGAAGGAATGGGTGTCAGACTTATGCTCGAAGTAGAATCGATCCCCAAATTTCAAGTGAAAGAATTGGATTCCTATAATACAGGCAAAAGTTGGTCCAACGTTTGAACCGTCGAGTAGTGTCTCGGCTAACCCTCCGATGTATAGATCGATATCCTTATAATGTCTGTTTAAAAAATAATTTTATTAAAGTCATAACAATTGTAAATTGAATTAAAATGAATTAATTACTTATAAATCCTTTTCAATTTATCGACAGTTTGAATGGGTATTAATTGAAGCAAATCCTCCCAACTATTAATTTTAATACCAGAGCAGTATTGTACATAATAAATATAAGGAGCAATACCGTGATCCCTACCCCTTCCGATATCAGTTGAGTATAAGTCTCTAACTCTTAGATTACAAGGCGTGAAGAAATTGAAATTTCTTAAATCCGATGAGAAATGAAATCCTGTTTCCTCTTCCGTGTCCTCACATAAGCCCCGAAGTAAACCATTTGTCTTGAGGTACAGTAAGTTAAACCAAAGTTTAGCAAAATATATATAAATATAAGAATTATAATTACATTTCCATCCCATAGTTCAGTCATTTTGTTGTAATTGTATTTCAATGTAATCGACGAGTCGTTGACACGATTTTTATTAATAATGGGAATCCTATTCCTTACAGTGGAGTGACTGTACCGCAAAACTCCTGCTCCCAGCTCATTGATAACATCGGGTATAACATTAGGATTATATTCACTGTAATTCCCTAATGGTTTAACGTTGAGATCAAAATAATCCATGAGATCTTTGTTGATAATCGATGGCAAGTATTCTTCAAAGTTTATGTAATTATATTCCGCTTCTAATACACGCCTAATATTTAACACAATATTTATATTTTTAATTCTTATTATAAAATTACTAATTATATTAATTGATAAATTAATACATGAATGTTATAAAAATAAGACCTGGATTCTTGATAAAGGACTTCATCACTCCAATGGGGATTAACTTTAGCTAAACCATCGCAGTGTTGGTTATGGCGAACCACTAATACTATAGAGAGGGCAGCGATTAACGGCTGTTGATTACCACGAATGCCATCACCATTCTTAAAGCACCCTAACCAGGGTCTGTCCACTGCAGGCATACATGAATTGAGATCATAAATATCGAGATCTTGTGGCATAACTGCTTCTGGTAATATAACGGTTCCCACCAATGATTGGTTTGTTTGCAGTTTTCCTAAATAATATATCAATAAAATTATTGTTATCTTTGCAACAAATTCTGGAAATTCAATCAGGAACCTTTTTCAAAAGTCCTTAAAGAATCAGAATTTGGTTTATAATATCCATAGACTAGTGAGAGATCGAGATAAGATGTCGGAGCTGTCATCTGATTGCGAGCACCTGTAGGGTTAGAAATTGTTAATAATTATCATTTTTGATAATTTAATGAAACAATTGATACAAACCTAGACTACATGTCCCACAAGCAGTGGATCGGGCGATACTTAAACACGACTCGTTATAAGCTATGGTTAGCCTATCGTGAGGTATATTATTAATTAAGACACACTCGGGATGTGTTGGACCACTAGTTGGACAACAATTGAGAGCCACTCCGAAGTATTGTAATGTCTTAAGCATGTCGTGTGCTATCACTTGACCCCAAATCATATGCAATAAAGTCTTATTTTTAATATGGATTGTACTCTCATGTGATAATGAATTGCCTATTAGTCTCTCATTTGGTAGGGGACTGCCATCCCAGGCCACCCGCACTTTATTAACTCCATCCCCAAAATCGGGTGGAAGTAGTCTTCGTTGGCAATGGAAAGCTGAGCCCCAATTGGTTTCCTTCAAGTTATTACACTTTCCATCAATTCGTCGGTATTTATAGTCAGGATTACAGACAATCTCTTCGCTCACATCCCTTTCCAAATCACAAAAGTATCCGTTATTTGTCACTTGTTTTGGTGCTTTTATTAGTGCAAGATTCACTGCTGTCTCATATTTATCCAGACATTTGCTTTGGAAATTAATTCAATTGTATTAGATATCAGTAATTATTTTGCTTATCAATCAATAAATAATTATAATTATTCTTAATATTAATTATTCTGTACTTACATTTGACTCAAATATTGTGAAACAAATTCATTATACTTAGACTTCAGATTAGCATCATATATGAAACTACTAAAGTTGGTGACCCGCGGATTGTTTTCTATATATTTGTTATCCATTCGCACATAGTCTTCAATTTGAAGAGTCGCCCCCTCCATAGCCTCATTTAACTCCCAGTCCAATATTTGGGATGCCTTTCCCTTTTGTTGAGAACAATGCTTTATAAATGGGTTTGTATTGAGATATTGAAGATAAATATTTTTCAATTCCAATGAATATTCTTTTGTAAAATCAAACGATCCGTTTGCATGACTTAATAGACCGGTTACTATACCTTAAAAATTATAATACTGTATTATATTTTTGTATTATTTTTATCGACTATGTTCTATGTCATAAAATTTATGATCATTGATTCAATATTTACCATGACTTAATTCATCAGCAAAACACTTTAAACAACTAATTGCAATTAAAATAATACAATATTTATTCAGCATATCACAATAGTAATATATAATTGAAAATTATAATTATAATTATAATTGAAATTCTATATTTTAATAACTAATTCTAGTTTAAAAATTAAAGGTATTGGCAAGTTTGCTATATTAATATTTAATCACTATTTAAATACTGACTCATATTTTTATATTACATTCAAGTGTTTTTAATTTGAAGTTCACTAACACTTAAATGTACAATTGTAACATTGATCATGATTGAGGTTTAAATGTTTATTAAATGTACTGTATCACTGGTTGAAAAATTTAATGGTTGTAAAAATAACATTTATAAATAAGTGCTAATGAATAAAAGTCTATAGCTTTGTAACTTTGTAATACAAATACAGTAAATAGGTTTACAATTCTTGTGATTTATATTTAGGTTCATTGAGTCGACTATTAATACGATTCCGTTGACAGTAATCGTCACATTCGGACTCAATCTCTGCCCACAAGTGATAATCAAATTCAGCAAAACTATCGCATGATATGCGGGGATTGGTCTCAGAGGACACATACAGTGGGTTCACTTGTATTGTCTCGAAGTCTGTGGTTTTGCACAACATATTAGCCAAAGAAGCTCTTTGTCTGATGTGATTCAACTGATCTGTTGGACAATACAAATGCTTTACATATATTTTTTTAATTAATTAACATGACAGACTTATATTGAATGATCCAGGTTGTTTCGAGTGCTCGAAGTAGAATCTGTCACCAAATTTCAAATGATTGAATTGTATGCCTATAATACAGGCCAGTGTTGGCCCGACATTGGACTCTCTCATTACAGTTTCAGCCAAACCCCCGATTAATAAATCGATGTCTTTATAATCCCTGAAATTGAATAACAAATTAAATAAAATTACAATTAGCCTTGTTCCATTTGTATTTAAGAAAATTCAAATTACTTATATATTTTTCGTAATTCATAAATTATCTTGTCGGGTATTAATTGTTTTAAATCATCCCAGCACGTAATTTTAATACCAGAACAGTATTGCACATAATAGATATAAGCGGCAATACCGTGATCCCTACCCCTTCCCACATCATTTGCCAACAGATCAGTCACAGTGGGTGCACAGGGAGTGAAGAATAGGTAATCCCTAACATCGTCCGTATAGTCTAGATCTGTGCGCTTCTCCCTGTCCTCACACATCCCTTTTATTATACCATTTTTCTGCAATTAAATCATTTGATTAATTGTTAAATGTGTTGAAAAGTGTCATACATTTCCGTCCCATAGCTCCGACATCTGAACGAAATTCAATCTCAATTTAAGTGACGAGTCTTTTAAGCGATTTTTATGAATGATTGGGAAAATGTTGTTAACGTTGGAGTGGCTGTACCTGAAGGCCGCCACTCCGTACTCATTGATTATGTCGCCCGACATGTATGGGTTGTATTCACTGAACTGTCCAAAGGGTGACACATTGAGGTCGAAGAAGTTCATGAGATCTCTGTTGATAATCGATGGCAAGTATTCTTCAAAGTTTATGTAATTATATTCTGCTTCTAATATACGCCTAAATAATAATCAAATTTAATATTAAAGTTTTCTTTGATAAATTATTCACAAAAGTACCTAGCTTCTCGGTATAAGGTATCATCACTCCAGTGTGGATTCACTTTAGCCAAACCATCGCAGTGTTGGTTGTGTCGGATCACCAAAACCAAAGTCATTGTATTGATTAGCGTTTGTTGATTGCCTCGAATGCCATCCCCTGTCTTAAAGCATGAAAGCCATGGCCTATCCGTTGGGGGCGCACAGGCTGTTAAATCAAATATATCCTGGTCCTGTGGTAGCACTGCTTCAGGTAATATAGTGGTGCCAGCCAATGACTGATTGGTTTGGAATTTACCTTGACAAATTATAAAACATTTAAATTATATTTAAATATACAGGACTAGTATATTATATTAAATGTAGTTTTAATCACATTTTCAGACCTCCTTTAAAGGTTCTCAAGGAATCTGAATCTGGTTTATAAAAGCCATAAACTAATGAGAGGTCCAGATATGCTGTCGGGGCATTCATCTGTTCTCGAGCTCCTGTAGTTTTTATTGTATTTTATCAATTATTAACTTATAAACATTTATAATCAATTTAATGCAAACCCAAGCGACATGTGTTGCATCCGGTGGAGCGGGCTATACTGAGACAGGTCTGATTATAAGCCATTGTCAACCTATCTTGTGGTACATTAATATCTATAATACACTCGGGATGTATGGGACCAGTGGGTGGACAGCAATCGAGACCTAATCCGAAATATTGTAAAGTCTTGATAGTGTCGTGAGCTATCACTTGACCCCAAATCATATGCATTGAAGATCTCTTTTTGTCAAAAACTTCATTTTTATTCTTCACTGAATTGCTTATAAATCTCTCATTAGGCAGAGGACTGCCATCATAGGCCGTCCGCCCTTTATAGACACCATCCGCGTAGTCCTGCGGAAGTAGTCTTCGCTGGCAATGAAAGGCTGCGCCACTATTGGTGTCCTTCAGGTTATTACACTTTCCGTCTATTCGTCGGTATTTATAATAAGGATTACAAACAATCTCTTCGCTTACATCCCTTTCCAAATCGCAATACTGGCCGTTATTTGTCACTTGTGTAGGCGCTCCACTTAATGGCAGATTTATAGTTGACTCCAATTTATTCAAACATTTTCTGAAATAATTAAAACAATGTTAACAATATTTTCAAATAATCTTGTATAGCTTACATTTGTGTCAAGGCAACTGTGAAAAATTCATTGTATTTAGTTTTGAGTCCGGCGTTGTATAGGAATTGACTGAAATTCTTGAGACCCGGGTTATCTCTAATAATCTTGTTATCCATTTTGATATAAGTCTCTATTTTATTGAGTGCCTCTTCCGTCGCATCCCTGACATCCGATTCCGTTATATCGGAAGCCCTACCCGTTTGGTGCACACAATGCTTCAGAAGTGCATTATTTCGTAAATATTGTGAATATATTTGAAATAAATTAGAGACAATATATTGTTTTGTAAATTCAAACGTTCCCTTCGGACGGCTTAGAAGTCCGGGAATTATAGGTTCAATATTATTATTATTATTATTATCAACATTATTATTTTTTTTATTATTAAACCCTAAATTTTAATAATTACTTATTATTAATAATTTATAATCACTTTGTAAAATCATAGTAATCTCATAAATAAATCTTTATAGTTATAAATGTAAATAATTATTTTGAGATTTTATTTGCTTACCTTTGTATGATTCATTATCATCACCATTAATATAAAATAGAAAATTAACAATAATAATTAAAATTATAAGTAATATGATTAAATAAGCTTTATTCATTGTCAATCAATTTGAGGTAATGAATTTGAATTAGATTTTTAAAAATTATTTTATCATAGCAGTATATATCACAGATATTACTGTACTTAAAATATGGTTTAAATTTTATGGAAATAAACTAAACTTATAAGCTATTAAGTTAATTAAAAGTAAAATTCTTATTTTTCCAGACTTTTAAGGTTATTTACAGTTTATTGCTTTTTAAACACAGTTTAATATTTGTAATTAAATGGATCAATATTTTATTTTTGTCATTAACAACACATTTCAATACTTTAATGATGTTCATTGAACCAAAACACCTATATACAATTTATCAATATTGTCTGAATTGTAAGATTGAAGCATCATGTTTATGAAAATCTCAAATATAATCTTAAATTATTAGATTAAAATTATTTAGATTTTAAAAATCTCTTTATTAAAAGCGAAATTACAAATATCAAAAATAGCATTTTATTATCATTTTAACAGATAATATCGGTACGAAACATTTTATTTTAAAATAATTATTTTTAAAATACGATTAAAGTGTAAATATTGTTAAACTAATATTCTTTAATTATTAAAATTTAGCTTAAATAAACATATTTTTGAATTATAACTTGTAGTAATTACCGGTATTTTAGTAATATTGATAATTTTCCGCTTAAATAATTGTGTAAGTATAATTTCTGCATATAATTATACTATTTATTTCAAATTTAATTAACATAACAACACAATTAATTAGTTTAATTTTTTAAATTTTCATAATTAGGTTAATATATTCTTATTTTGGTTGATAGCATTATCAAACTTTTGTAAAACTTTATAAAATAAGTTAAATTGTTATTTCTGGGATTCACGGAACAGGTTATAATCAAAGTCTTGAAACTATTTGCAACAAATTCTTGGGTTATTATCGCACGGAATATACATTTAATCTTTAAAAAGATTCAATTCTCGAAGAAATCATTTTTAACGTTAATTAATAAAAGTTTTGTTTTGTAAAGTTTCTGATCAAATATTTGGTCGAAAAGGGAATTTTTTGTTAAACTTGTATGCAATTTGTAGAAACTATTCTTGATATATTTTGGGTATTGTATTGAAAGCTACTTTTTAAGTAACGGAATGATATGATAAAGTTATCAAGTTTTCCATTTGATGGCCAATAGTATAGCTCTGTTGAGCGGCAATTGAGGCAAAAATGTGACATTTGTTTGAAATTCAAACTTTGAATCGATGTGTATATTACTGTTATATCTGTTATTCAATACTATACGACACTTGGAGTCAACTAATTGTCACCGAAATGAGTGATAAATTCAAACTTTCAGTGCATTTGGACGCAAATGAAGACATTGATGTGTCAATGGATGTCAACCGCAATGTATTGCCGTTTAATGTGGTCTACAATGAGATGATTAAACAATGAAAACACAACATCTCATGTAAAACACAACTGTCCGAGAATTGGGTCCCATTACGAAGAAAGGCAAAAGATTTTGGGTTTTGTGACAAAAATGATGAATGAAAAGGGGTTACAATGGGGACTGTCTTAATTGCCAGACCCGCCAAAGCCGCCAGGGAAGAGAGAGAGAGAGAGAGAGAGAGAGAGAGCTGGTTATATATTAAACTATTGTTAAATACTAATATTTTATTAATTTAATACAAACATATTTACATGTACTATAACTAAATCAGTTAATAATTTAATAATTTTAAGTATAATTACATATAAATAGCTCTCTCTCTCTCCCAAATTTTTGGTCCTAAATGGGAGAGAGAGCTATTTATATGTAATTATACTTAAAATTATTAAATTATTAACTGATTTAGTTATAGTACATGTAAATATGTTTGTATTAAATTAATAAAAAATTAGTATTTAACAATAGTTTAATATATAACCAGCTCTCTCTCTCTTTTCCCTGGCGGGTCTGGCAATTAAGACAGTCCCGTTACAATGTTAACGATGGTCAAACATTTAAGGCACTAATCAGCAGAGCTCTCATTTCAAGGAATTTTAAGTTAAAAGTGATGTATACATCACGTAAAAAAATTTTGCTAAATATAATATGTTGAATTATGTAAAACTTTATTACATGTTCTAACAAATAATTACATTATATAGTTCGCAATTAAGTTAATTTAATGCATAATCAAGCTAATTAAGTAATAAATTAGTTAATTCAATACAGAATTAAGTTAATTTATTAATAACTTAGTACATAATTAAGATAATTTAGTAATAAATTAGTTAATTCAGTGCACAATTAAGCTAAATCAGTATATTATTTAGTTAATTCAGTGTACAATTAAGCTAAATCAGTATATTATTTAGTTAATTCAGTGTACAATTAAGCTAAATCAGTACATTATTTAGTTAATTTAGTAATAAATTAGTTAATTCAGTGCACAATTAAGCTAAATCAGTACATTAGTTAATTCAGTGCACAATTAAGCTAAATTAGTGCATTATTTAGTAAATTCAGTGCACAATTGAGCTAAATCAGTACATTATTTAGTTAATGTTTACAGCAAAATCACATGCTTTCAGAATTATAATCTGTTTTATCAAGTATTTTCTTATCATACTTTTCCACGTGATGCTATTTATTAGTATTCCTTGAAATGAGAGCTCTGCTAATCAGTCTATATGTTTACAATTATTACGCAAAGGTCCGCACATTACTTATTGAATATTTGATACCCTCATTAACTTGTAATACATTTTAATTAGGTTTCGAAACATGTATCCAATTCTGAAGAATTCGTTAAAGTGTTCCCATTTTTTGCAACCATTCAGGACATGGATTTGAGTCAATCATTACAAGAATCGATGTTTTTAACGATTCAAGAATTGAAAAAATATTCATTTCAAACATAATTTTGTTTAGAATCTAAGCTTTGACTTTAGTTTTTATATAAAATAGTTTATTATTTTAATTTATTATTGAATACTAATTTCATATTTAATTAACTATTGAATAGCTTACTATTATTGGATTTTAATAAATGTCAGTTTTAGCGAAAACTATTGACTTGAACTACACTTTAAAGTTTATTATATGATTTGTTAAGAAAGAAAATTTTGTCCCAATTTTCTCAATTAGATCATTGGTTTGTATATATATTTGCAAATATTATCAAAATTATCAAATTAAAGTTATATTAATCGTACAAAAAAAAGATAAAACTTATAATTGTAAACATACCAAAAATTATCTCAGTTTGCATTTTCTTTTAAATAAAGTTTCAATTAATATCCAATCATTCAATAAATCAATCATTATCAATTTTTATATATAAACCAGAACATATAACAACATATGAAAATGACACTGGTTATCTATAGTCCCCGTCCACTCAACTACTGTTGATTTATGATATGATATTAAACAACAAAGTCTTATGTAATCGTCTGTACGACAGACACATACTTGAGTTCATAGCCAAAGAAAGCTTATAATAATATAATATATTGTTTAATTATTCATATAATCTAGTATATTTCATGTTTTAAAAATGTGCAAGTACTTTAATTTATTTTTGATTATTAATTTTCTCTTTATATTTGTGTCATCTATTGATCCAAATGACTGGAACTATCACTTATGGTTAGATCCACACGAGAAATATAGCCTTAAATGGAAAGTCGATGCAAACAATCAAAGCATTACTTTCTTATGTGAAGTCCAGACCAGAGGTTGGATTGGTTTC